ACTCCCGTCGACACTACTGGCTTCTCCTGCGTAAAGATCTCTTTTGTGACTACGGTGGTTTCTACTTGCGGTATCGTTTGCGTTGCTTCTTTCAGTTCTTCCGGTCTTGATTCCTTCGCGATTTCTTCAAGGACTCCCGTCGACACTACCGGCTTCTCCTGCGTAACGATCTCTTTTGTGACTACGGTGGTTTCTACTTGCGGTATCGTTTGCGTTACTTCTTTCAGTTCTTCCTTCATTTCTCTTTGTATCTCTTCCGCTGTCTCGTGTATCATCTGCGTTCCCTCAGCGAGTTCTCTCTCCTTGTTCAACAGCTCTTTGCAAACTTCCATCACCGGCTGAGCTATTATCTTCTGAACTTCCTCGCGCACAATTCTATCCTCATCCGTGTCTTTCTTATCTTCCTTATCTTTCGGTTCTTTCCGCATTTCTTTCGTCCATTTGTCGTCCAGCATGGAAGCCTTCAAGGTCTTTTCTATCTCCCTCGACTCCGCTATGTGCTTCTCTTCGATATCGATTGTCTCTTTCGTCATTTCCGTCGCGCTCTTGTCCTCGCTCTCCCTTATTTTCTGATCGTCGATTGATTTGAAAAGCGACTTGTCCTTCTCGGACTTGATCGGCTCCTGCGGCCGGGGCGTCGTGCTCGTCTTCGCCATCTCCTTCTGTATTTGCTCCTCAAAGTAGTGCGCCTTTTCCGCCACCGAGCACTCCGAGATGTCCGGCACGTTGATGTCCTCAATTGTCTCCGATCGCATCACCTCCGACATCCCTTCCGTAGTACCATCGCCTTCCTCGGACACGATGTTCGGCAAACACGACTCGCTGTCGCTCTCGTTGATGGTCAACTGCGAGGCGCGCGAGACCTCGGACTCGGAACGCTGATAGCTCTCGCGCTTCCGCGAGATATCCTCCCAGAACTTGCGCTTCTCCGAGTAAGTTTTCTCGAGCTCGGGCGACAGATCTTCTGGTTGCTGGTCGGCGCCTACTTTAGTGGGATAACTAGCATCTACGGATTCTAGGGGACAAACCGCTTTTTGTGCAAGGGATTCGTGGATAGTAGCGGCATCTAGAACAACCAAGAATTATGTTCACATTATTTTTTATTAAGCACGTCATGTTGCAATTACTGGAATACGTTATGTTAATTTTTTTTATTTCGTTTTATCCATAGCGAGATCTGGCGATCGAGAACTTCTGTAGCGCAAGTCTTTTTTTCCCCTCGTTTTTCGTTTCTTTTCACACCCGCAGCGGGTGTCGTGATATCTCAAAGTCTACCGACTAGAGTTTTGAGAGATGACGCTTCGTTTTGTGAAAATAAGAAAAAAATTAGTTTCTCGCAAAACTACTGACATACTTATAGACAGTTTTTCTGGAGAGATAAAAAGAGCTATATATTGGATAATTACAAGTGAGTATGATAGAATACTTTATATATTGAAGAAATAAAAAAATTGTTCTGGTTGATGTACTTAAAACGGCTTTAATTCAGTTGAAAGTACAGATCAGCGAGTTTTTTCAGATGTAACAATCATGTAACATCACCGCGAACAACTATTTTTCATTATACATTTTTCAGTATAGTATACGTATATATTTTTTGATATTTTATATATATATGTATATATATATATATGTTTATGAGAATTTATACTAATTATATGACACAAGAACACACACACATAATTTGACATAATTCACAATTACGAAATAAGATATTCTCTATCGTTCTTCTGGATGTACATACGACGATTTGATTCTAATGACGGCATTGAGTAATATCGAGTGTGCCACAAAAAGAAAACACTTTTTTTTTTGTAAATTACTTGATAGATAAATACGAATACGTATTTGTACATCTCGCGTCCCATATAATTATAACATATAATTATATGCATGTATAAATATGCATTTGTATCGAGAAATTTCTCTAGATTGGAGACATACTCTTTTGCATTAATATCCCATACGGTTGTCTATGATAATGTTGAGGACGGCAGTTCGGTCTGCAAGTATAACAAGTACACAAAAACATTGCGTTATTATTGGCTTTCAAAAAAACAATAACAGTTAAAAGAATTAATTTGTTTCTTTGATAATCGTTTCGCACGCGCACACAATGCAATTGGATTAGTTACGAGTGTTATAATGAGTATTCAATATAATCTTTAGTAGTTGCAAGACGGACTTCTTTGAAAAATTATAAGCATTGTACTTCTATATATATATATGTATATACTGTAATTTCGTGCATTTAATTTTGCCCCATCGATAAAATTCATTTATAGATTTCAGGCACGGTGCAAAAAGGAAAACGAAAGAGTCTGCGACAAACAACAGTTTATCCAAAAAATAACATTACCATTATTTTCGTACGATGTATGTCTATTCCAGAATGTCAAACGAAACCGGTCCAGTTCATTTTCCAGTTTCTTGAAATCAGATTTCAGTATTCTTGTCCACAGATTTTTGCAGCTCCTCTTTTATTTATTTATCGTAAAAATAAGGCTATTACTTTTTGGACACTTCGGTGGGAAGGGAAGTCAACTAAATTAAGGGAAAACACGATGAGAGACAAACTTAAAAATGTTTTTGATTTTTTTCTAGAAATAATATTTCATCTTTATATATGCTAAACACACTGAAGCATTTTCTTATACAATTTCATAAACATTAAGCGTCACGCTTAACATATTACAGTTTCTTCATTGCACAACCTTACAGCTTGATCGTCCATGGCGTGATCATGTTGTCCGTGACTCTCTAATAGAAGAAGACTTTAAAATTCTACTTATCTTCCAAGTAAGACTTCTTAATTAGATCAGAACTCGCATCCGCGTAAGACGTTACGCAAACCGCATCCCATTGCAGCAGTTGCAAGTACCGGAGGGTCGTTGAGTTTTTTCTTTTTTATATTTGTTACTCAATATTCAACGATATGTTACCTCATTGAAATTTCAATTAGAAAGATCTTTATTCCAGGGAATCACATCGCGTTTCAGTTAGATCATGTTTGCTAGTTTTCTCACTTCGTCATAATCCCGTTTCGTTTAATCGACATCCTCGATATCGGTGTGGCAGTCGCTAATCGGATCCTCGACAGTGTCCGGCACGTACAACGTGTTCTCCATTTTGTTGATCATGACGATCTGCGAGGCGGCCACGATGTCGAAGGCCTCGTACAAGTGACTGCTGGAGGCCGCCTCGTCCAGTTTGTCCTCCTCGTCGGATGCCTCCATGTCCTCGCTGTCGGTGTTTGGCATTTCCGGCATGTTCGTCGCGTCTTCTTTGTCGATAGAAACCATTTGGCGCGACAATCGATTCCGCACCTCCACGGAAAACGGTCCGTCGCCCTCCTTTGTGGTGATCATTTCGCCACCGAACTCGGTCAGTATGTCCGACCGAGGCGTGACGTAGATCGTCGGATGGACGTCCTCGTCGGCCTCTATGTCCTCCAGATCCGTATCACCCTGATAACCGTTGTCAGCTGTCACGTTCAGCTTGTCCCGTGCGTCCTTGTCTTCGTCGCTGTATATCTCGTCAACGTCCGTGAGATTCTCCGCGAAGCTGCTGCGTCTCGATCGCGACCTCATCTCACCGTCGACTATGAGATAGTTCACGTTCTCGTTGGTCTGCGCTGCGCGATCAACGTCTTCCGCACCGGTCACGGAGATCATCGGACTGCACTGATTGCTAGCCAGCGAGATTTTCACCGGGCTGAGCTTGCCGATCTTGTTGGTGATCATCGTCAGCTCGCCCTCGGAATCTGTGTCGGAGAAATGCAACGACGCGTTGCTCATCATCGCGTTCAGGCGTCTTCTGGCGGATCTGGATTTGCGTTTGACCTTCGTCCCGGAGGAACAATCCTTTTCGCACGCTTGACCGTCTTGCTTCATGGCGCATTCGTTGACTTTTGTCGTCATGCTTGGATTTTTTTCCCGTAGCTCGATACGTTTAAACGCGCCGACCGTAAGTGCGCAAACTACTAACGAACTTAAAAAAACACCTGAAACTGAAAATTGTAAAAAAAAAAAAAGAAGAAAAATTAACGCACTAACGCAAAAGTGAGGCAATTTTAAAAATTAGTTGGGTTGTAATTGAAAACAAAATGAGAGAAAAGAGATTTATAGAAACAAACGAACAACAGGTGTATGACAAACTGAACAGAGAAACTCACGTTTTTCGACAAATGCTGTGTGCGATGCTCGAAAGAAAGAGAGACAAATGCGAAATTTGCACCGTTCCCTTCGTCGGCGCGAAACGAACTAAAAGAAGTCCGCCACCGAGCGCACGTTCGAGCGACGATGGTGATGCCGTTACGTCTAATTAAGTTAAGGAAGCCTCACCCAACTCTCTTAAGCCGTAAGCTGATTATCTTTTTCCCCTTGAATTAAAAAACAATTTTTACCGTCTTCAAGTCGAATCGAATTCGACAGGTGAACTTATTCCTCTCGATCTCGTCAAGGTACTTCGCTTTCTTTTTTCGTCACTCTCGCACTCTGTTCACGAATCATCCCTACGTCGCCAGACCTTTCTCAACATGTTACGTAATTCTACATCTCCCTGAGCGGTTACGTTTTAACAAAAATTATTTATTATAATTCTTCGTTTAACGCAAGTTCTCTTTTTGCACCTTGCATCTTTAGAGCGAACGAATCAAAATCGAATTTCGAACAGTCGAAACAGTTTCAATTCTACCACGATTCGAGATCGATTTTCTCATATATCTAGTTTCGAAATACATTTCGACAATTGTGCATAACGCAAAATTTGTGAGAAGAAAAATATACATTACGTCTAATTTCTAGAGCTATCAATTACGTACCTGTTTGTTCCTTCTGTAACGTGTCAGTTATAAATTTCTTTTCCGTCGGCGAAGCGGTCTCTTTGGGCTTGTCGGTTTTCTCCGTTCTTTCTTCCATTTTGTACTTTGATTTGTAATAATCTAGCTTTTGATTTATGATATTGGAGTCTTCGTAACCTGCGGTCACAAAATATTATCATTATTCGTAACGTGGCATTCGCGCGCAAAACCTTCCATCTTGTCAAAATACCGCCGAAACTATTCCCTTTCTTCCGTCCCTGCTCTTCGACAAAATGGCGCGTTCGGCTTTTGCGCGGAACTGAGACGCGCACGTGGCTCATTCCGCGCTTGTGTGATTGAAACAAAAGTGCGCAGTAATGGGATATAATATAGTGCAGAAGTGGGAAAATTTATCAAAAACGAGAGATCACCGACGGTGACAACAGGAAGGTTCGATTGCATTTACATATTTTTTTTTTTATTACATTATTTTTAATAAATAATTAAATTTAAAAAGCTTTAATTTGAAATAATTAAAGCTTTCCTTATTAAATTATGTGCACATGTATATACTTATGTAATTTACTTAATTTATCTTATTGACTAATTAATTAATTTAATTGTACATATTTATAAATTATGTATAATTTTTTATTTTCACGTACCTTTTAACTTCTTCTGTACTTCTTTCTTCATAATAGCCTCGGGAAGTACAATGTTCAGCACGCAAATAGGCTGCTGAGGCGGTTCTCCCTTTGCGATTTTCGGTTCCCGCATGAACAACATCCTCGCGACCGGATCTAGCAACGGATCCTTCACTTTAACGTGAAACGACAGTCGATTCTGGCGAAAAGCCTTGAACGTGAACTTCAATTGTACTCCGGATTTCGTTACCGGTACCAAATTTCCACTGAATTCGATATAAAGATCCTTTCCATCGAGTGCCTAATGAACAAATATTCAAAAACAATTAAATAAATCTGTGTGTTATTTAATTTAAATGTTCAAAAAAAACAAAACAAAAAAAAAACAACTGCGTGACCCGCAGAATGTCTATTTTTTTAAAAAATTTCGAATTTTACGATCACGAAGATACCTCAACATCGCGACTCTTCACGATTTCCGTGAACTCCTCTTGCTTTTCCAAGGTGTGCATGCCCTCCTTGCCGTCGGTCATGCACAATATTCTCAACGTGGCCTCTAATACGTCCATTCTCTTGGAGTAAATTATAAAGCTGTAAATGGAATTTGTGTTTAATGCGCTTTGTTTGTATTGTAAAAATTAGCTAATCGCAGTCACGCGAATCATCAGAAAAGTCGCTCACTTCGTTATATATGGCACATGTAAGGATTCCTCGTACAATTCCGTCGCCATTTTCGGTACCGCGCTGATGTTCCTGCAATCCATCAGCCAGAATCTCGCTGACACGGTGGTGGTGAACGACACGCGATCGTTCATAAATGTCAACGGCGTCGAACCGGTGACGTCTTCCCACTGCGATTCGTTGGTTCCGCCTAAAGTTGGGACCGAGTTATTTTTATTGTCGTCATCGATGCGAATATTGAAATAAAAAGACAAGACAGTTCTGTTGTGTTTTTTTTTAAATTGCAAACTAGATACCCGCGATGCTGCACAACAGGCGTAACGTAGGTGTTTCTCCGCCGTATTGATTGATCATCCCCTTGTTCGCGGCTTGCGGCACGGGAATCGTCAGGGTTATCGGTTTGTGAAACTTCCGTCTTCTCGGTTCGATCGTTATTATCGGCGACACCGCGACGCAGTTACCGAGCAGCTTGGCGGTGAGCTCAGCGGGAATAACGTGCGCCTGTGAATGCAGATAAAATCATTTTGACATTTTGTTCACGTCACTCGTTTGCTCTCTGCGCGTTTCGGAACTTTACTCGCCTGCAGGCCGACTTTGATCTTCTTCGTTAGCGCGCCGGCGGGAAACACGGCCTGCACGTGGTTCGCCACGCTCGAAATCAGAATGCCACCCTCGGCGCCGATAACGTGAACCTCCTGCTTGATTCTAGTCACAATGGCGAAGTACTGCGGAAAGTCCGTGGTGATTATGCGAGTGATTCGTCCGGAATGCATGGCGCTCATCTGAGGATCTGAGGATCAAACAATTGTGTTGAAATCGATGTTTTCTCTTGTTGTTTCCCACATCGCGGTGACATACCGTGAGGCGTGTTGAGGAGAGTGTCATCGTTGTCCACGGAATTGTCGTGCTCCTTCCACGTTTCTCCGTTCTCGCTTCTCAGGATGATGATTTCACGTTCCTTTCCGTGAACCGACGCGAAATGCGGTATGTCGATTAAAACGGGTCTGAAACGGATTATATTTATATTTCTCTCAATCTTGGAAGAAAAAGCAGATCTGTACGTTCGTACGCATCATAGCGAGATCGTGTTACCCTAAGAATCTCGCGCCGACCGGGCCCATCTCGATAATCCGCGTGGCGAGAGCCTCGCCCTCCATCAGGGGCGGCGGATTCGTCACCTTGTTCGGTTTCACTAATCTGCACGTTACGCGAATCGGCATTGTCGCTCTTCGGGGCGGCACGATGATGCGCACGCCGCTGTGTCTGCACCCTTTCATGGCACCGCCACGCGCGTCCACCAGAAAGCTTATTAGAAATCTGTAAATTTTGGATTTTCGTAGTGACGCGTCCTCACGGTGTATTCACATTTCTTTTCTTAATACAGTCACTCTGTTTTATACTTACGATTTGAAGTGCAGTTTCCTGAAAAAAAAAAAAAAGAAGATGTGTGCATGTTTAGATCAGAATAAAAAATCTTTAGGAATAAAATCGTTTCTTTAGCAATTAAAATGGCAGAAACACAAATTCTCGACGCTCACCCTAGATTCAGTCCGTCGGCGCTATCGAAATTCTCCGCCAAACAGTAATTATTGCTTTGCGTGAAGTCTTGCTTCTCCTCACTCGTGACTGAAAACAAGAATAATCGCGCACATTAATTGTTTGCTCGGCAAACAATTTGTTTCAATGTATTAAACAATTTGTTTTCAAAAAACTTCTTTCTCGCTCTCGCGAAAACCATCATTTTATCTTTTCCTAAACAAAGAAAGAAAGATTAAAAAATTAACATTTTTCACCTTGTCTGTGTACCGGATCGTCCCTAGTAACGTCGATAGGCAACGAATCATCCCTTAGACTCTTCATCAGATCCGCCGTAAGATATCGATACGGTTGTTCGCTGATCAGCGTGTCGGAAACTAAAAAAGAAAATTAATTCTTCTATAGAAAATGAATTATTTTGCGGGTTTTTTTTTTTGTGTTTTTTTTCTTGCGCACACGTACCTCCCTCGTCGTCCGAATCAGACATGAAACTAGTTTCCTGCAAGCTTTCGGGAGCTATCACTTTGTACTTTTCCTCCCAGTTCTTATTATCCGGAGTCACACTGTCGTAAGGCAAACCTTTGAGCACCTCCATCACGGAGATGTATCCCAACTTTTGCGCTATGTTCAGCGCCGTCAAACCATCCTGCGACACACACATTCGATAGAACATTTTCTTAAAAGAAAAATCTTGAATATGTGAATAAATATTGAACAGCACATCAATAAAATAAATTTGTTTTAAACAAAGCTCGCGCAATGTGTTAGACTGCGCAGCAGCAGCGAGTTGCTTACGTTAGTGCGCGCTTTGTGCGAGGCGTTTCCTTCTAGCAAAGCGGTTACGATATGAGCGTGACCCTGTTGCGCGGCCTGATGAAGCGGCGTGTAATTCTGATTAGTTCGCACGTCGATCTCGGCGTTGTGCTTCAGCAAGAAACGTATCATCGACAGATTTCCGAAATGAGCGGCCACATGAATCGGTCTGTAACCGGTTTCCGTTTGGCTCTCGACGTCAGCCCCGTTCTTCACCAGAATCGAGGCCACCCTAATGAAATCTTCTTGCGCGCACAAATGCAGTGCCGTGAGTCCGTTCTAACGAAATATACGAAAAAAATAACGTTCTTTGTGGCGTTTATGTTCTGTATGCGAAATAATTATTAAAGCAAATATTTCTCTTCGTCCGAAATCAATAAAAAAAATTGACATTTAAAGTTCGCGCGTTCAAATGACATTAATAAGAGTATGTCGCGAATGTGAACAGAGAATGGAAGAGAGCAGAACAGAGATTGGATTTTTTTTCGTCGCAATCAATGGAGAATAAAGGACGCGCGTAACGAATTTAACTGATTCTTCACAAATACTAGAAACTGCGATGTGTGTGACAGAACGGAAGTTTTTTTTTTAATTGTTTTTTACCTTGGCTTTGTGATTAGGATTGGCGCCGTGCTCGATCAGCAAGTTCGTCATGTCGTAATGGCCCTTCTGCGCGCTCAAATGCAACGGGGTGAAACCCGCTTTGGATTCCGCGTTAGCGTTCGCGCCGTTCTCCAAGAGAGTGGAGGCAATGTCCATCTAAGCCAAGATTGCAAAAGATTTTGCACAAAAACTAGTTATTCGCATTAACGACTAGATTGTTAGAACAGCGTGTACATTCGGCACGTTAGAAAAGACACTTCCACAGCGTTATGTTGAAGTTAATTAAATCGCAATTTAATGATACAATTTTACCTGATTTTTGCGAGCAGCGATATGTAACGGAGTATGTCCATTTTGCGAGGCGAGATGAGGCGACGCTCCTTTTTCCAACAGGAGATTCGCCACGTTAGGATGATCGTAGTGACACGCCAGATGCAACGGTGTGATGTCGTTCTGAAATGTCGTGAGAATAATTTGATCACATTCGAAAGACCTTTAAGTCCTGAGTTGCGTATACAAGCGTGCACACAAACCTTTCCTTGGACGTCGAGTTTGCTCTCCTTTTGCAAGAGTATGTTAGCGACATTCATATTTCCGTACTTAGCAGCGATATGTAAAGGTGTAAAGCCGTTTTTCGTCGCAGCCTTGAGAGAAGCATTGTTTTCCACGAGAATAGCCGCCACCTGTTTGTCAAACAAATTATTGGGTTGTAGAAAAAACAATTTCCTCTTACGGCTAGTTCGATCAACTCCGGTTAATTTGATGATCGATCGATTAGCCATCAACCGGAGTTGATCCGGCACTCGGGGTTTTTTTTTTTTTACTTATTTCTACGACGCAAAAGAGAGCACACATCGACTCTTTCAAACGTTTTTCACAATTTTTTCTTACAATAAAATAAAATATTCTAACAATAAAAATTGCGAGAGTTACCTTCAAGTTAGGTGCCCGTTGGAAACTGAAGGATCGTTAAAAATTGATGTACGTTTGAACGACATGAGGGTTATGAAGACAATGATAAGAAAGTTTCTACAAATTAAAATTGTACTTCTACAGAACAAAAATATACTTTCTGTGCAGGAAAATGCGTCTTGGGTTTTAAAGCGGTTTTTAATTCTAACGAATCTATACTAGCGAATCCTACGTATTAATAAATTGTTTATAAGACATGTGGAAATGTGTGTTTCAGGAGAACGCGTTTGGCTCGACAATCGATATCGCCTCGGAGCTAATAAAGCGATTGCCAAATGTCACGGGGTGAAAATTACGCTCTCTAATCCGGTTTATGTCCCTTCGTGTAACGAGATCATCCGACGTGTAATACAGGATACATGCATGAGAGCGGCGACGAGATAAAAGCGCAGTGTGCCCGGAAGTGTCTAGAAACATATTTTGCATTAAAAAAAAAATATAAAAATTATTAACTCAAGAGAAATAAGGCGCAAAAACATAAAGAATAAACAAGATAACGAAAAAATTTATTACCACATATAACAAATACATGATGTGAGAAACGAAAACGTAACATAAAATTTATATCATTTATGTGTAATTAACATAAACCAAAAGTCCATTAACAGAAGACGTGTGAAACAGATGTGGGTGCGAGATGGTGAGCGGATCGACGGTGATAAAAACGACAAATGCGTCCGGCGACGGCGGCGACGACGGCGGCGGCGGCGGCAGCGTGTGCGTTTTCCCTTCTCCTAAATGAGATACTCTCGTTGCCGGCTCCAAAACAGCTGTATTCTACTTTGCGCGGCGACGTGTTCCGCTATTTGCGCGTATTCTTTGTACATTACCTCCTCTTGACCCTCCTTCGCCGCGATGTGGAGCGCCGTGTACATGTCCTTGGTCGGGGTGTCGACGGCCGCGCCGTGCTGCAGCAGCAACATGACGATGTCGATGTTCCCTAATCGAGAGGCAATATGAAGCGGTGTTTGCTGTTCCTACAAAATAACGGGGATACGCCTGTTAAAAAAAAAAAAAACCTACGGAAGAATTTTTCGCGCGCGGAAAAAACGATTATAGATGTGAAGAGATGACGCGATTAAAATTAACCGAGAGAGAACCAGTTGACTCTTTATTTCGAAGCGGAGATGTATTTTACACAGAAGGTGATGGTTACTTGTGAAATTAAAAAAAATGGAGTTGCAGTGAATTTTCTCTTTCGGCGATGTGCGAGTGTTGTCTTGAACATTTAAAGGAAAAGCGTGAAAAAATATGCTATGTCTTTCTTGCGAATGTCATCACACACAAAAGTTCGGAGTTACGAATCGTTGTTGAAATCAAATCATCTCGACATATGAGACTGGTTAATGGCTCATGCTTTTGTACAGAGAGAGGAGTGCGTATATGAGAGAGTGGTTACACAGTTGTCTATGATTCTTCTAGATGACTGTCTAAAACAATTTCTGTAATCCTCGGGAGAAGGATTTTTTTTTTTTTTTTTGCTGTTTCATTGAATTAAGCAAGTTTAGTCGGGTGAGAAGAGTCGGAAGAAGCAAAAGAGGATTTCGGTTTTGTTTTTGCCGGGTTTTGGTTTGTTTGTTTTCTTTTGTTTGTTTGTTTTTTTTTTTGTTTTTTTTTTGGCAAACACGCTTTACTTACCCTTGCACGAGCATCGACTTTGGCACCATTTCTTAGCAAAATTCGAATAATGTCTGTCTGATTGGCTCTAGCCGCCAGATGTAGGGGTGTTTCGCCCCTGACAGTCGGTACGTCAGGATTGGCTTCGTGCTGCAGTAGGAATATCACGATATTCATGCACCCCATAAAACTGGCCACATGTAACGGAGTCAGTCCGGACTGCAAAACACACGTACATGGTTGTCTGTTAATACTTTTGCGTCTCAATATGACTCCAGAATTAAAATTCGATTCTCTTTTCCGATTTATCGTCGTTTTTTTCTTTTTCTTTTTTTTTTTTTTTGCTGTTCTCGATCACTGATTTGATGAAAAAAAAAAAAAGAATGGTACATTAGAATCGAAGACTAGGTCGACCAATTTCGTCACTAACGCACGACCCTTTAACCAGTCTTTGAAATCAACCAATTTCACTCTTACGAGGAAAATCGTAAAAGTACGGAATCAAGATCGCATTTGATATCTGCTACGCGTTAATTGGTGCGCACTTCGAACGCGTGCTTGCGCGCGCTGTGAGCCGATTGCGTCTGTGCGATCGATATCACGATTCGACCTTGCGATAATCGTCGAAACGTTGCCAACAGCCGTGTAGAAGAGACATTTGTGATTCACAGTTGCGAGGAAACACTGATGAGATCTGATGCGACAGAGAGTGAAATAAAAAGAAACTGAGCTACGTTACCTCGGTGGTTGACTCGATGTACGCCCCGTGTTTCAGTAAGAGCTCGACCACTTTGATGCGATTCTTCTTGCACGCGATATGGAGCGGTGTGAAGCCGTTCAGCGCTCGGGCGTTCGGATCGGCTTTTCGATCGAGCAGCAACTTGGCGACTCGGACGTGTCCGCAGTGCGCGGCAACGTGGAGCGAGGTCAGATAGTCGATGGTCACTTCGTCCACCGGCGCGCGATGATACAGCAACACTCTCGCGGCGTCCACGTGATCTCCTTGCGACGCCATGTGCAACGGCGCGAGACCGTTCTGCGTGTGCGAAAATAGTAAACAATTGTCACAGTATTTTAATGCGCAATCGAATCCGAGGAATGAAGCGTACCTTTGTACGTGCGCTGATCGGCGCCGAATTTTCTAGCAGAGTGCTGACAACTTGCTCGTGACCCGATCGCGCCGCGCAGTGAAGCGGAGTCAAACCGTCTCTGGTCTTGGCGTCGATCTGCGCCGAGTTTTCCAGCAACACCTTGACCATATTGTTCTTGCCCCATTTTGCCGCCACATGTAACGGACTTATATTGTGCTGGAGAAAAGTAAATCGCGCATAAATATTTAAAAACGCTGAGTTTGTAAAGATACGAAGAGACGCTAATTATACGGATTTTCGATCGGGATCTAACGATCGAAGAGAGTGCTCAAAATTTATTGAACGTTATTCCCGTCGCAAATTGTCTCCGTGTCACTTACCTTAGCCAAGTAATTGACATCGGCACCTCGTTTTATTAATAATCGCGCTATCTCCTCGTTTCCATAATGAGCGGCGATATGAAGAGGGGTGAAGCCGCTCTTCGACGTTACGTCGGGCTTGTGATCGTTCTATAACAATCGATCGTTAGCGCACGGCGATATTTCAATTTATTTCGAGTTTCACGCTGCCTCTCCTCACCTGCAAGAGCAAGTCAGCGGCTTTGCAGTCGTCCTTCTTGGCGGCGATGTGAAGAGCCGGCAATCTGACCTTACCCTTGGAGTCGTTCTCCAGAAGTACGCTGACCACCTTGTCGTGGCCCTGCTGCATCGCCACGGCGAGTGGTGTAAATCCATCCTGAGACAAATAAAAATGCGAAGCATTTTCATCCCGTGTGTCTTCGAAAACTTATTCGAAGAAACACATGATTTAATTTAAGGAACAGAAAATATTCTAAGCGAACGGGTTTACCTCCGTCGCGAGGCTCTGATTGGCTCCGTTGCTAAGCAGGAGCTTGACAACCTGATCGTGATTCTCCTGCGCGGCCATGTACAAAGGAGTGAATCCATTCTGCGACTGGATGTTGACGGCGGCACCATATTGAATAAGTATATTGACTATTTCAGACTGGCCAGCTGAAAAGAAACGTTGTGCAAAACATTTACGATATGTAAAAATACGATTGCGACGTCACATGCGTCTATGAGAATATTCCTCTCTCTCTCTTTCTCTTTCTCTTTCTCTACCTAGCGAGGCGATGTGCAATGCGGTATTTCCTTTCTTCGTAGCCGCGTCTACCTTCGCGCCCCTTTTCAACAGCTCAGTCACTATCTCGACGTGGCCATCCTTCGAAGCTAAATGCAAGGCATTTAAACCGTTCTGCAACGTGAACAATTTTACGTTACGTTCATTATTTTTTCAATTCGTTTATTTCTTCGTTATAACACTTATATTTTCACGATTTTTATTTAAAAAAATTAAAATTACGCGGAATCGTTGATGACAAACGCGCACAACAAGATGCTTACCGAGTTGGCTGTGTTAATGTCCAAGTCGGTGTCGAGAAATTCGACCACTTTCTCAAGGTTGCCCGACCGAGCAGCGCGAAGAAATGCTGTCGTGTCATCAGCCTGAATGCAAAAAGAATTTTATATTTCGTTAGGGTGAATCGAAGCGGCACGTGTCAAGCAAAAAAAAAAAGACGAAGTTCGTGCTTACTTGTAAAAAAAGAACAACGTGGAAAACAGAGGGGTTGACGAAGGTGTATTATAATAAAAAGGCAAAGGTGCGTAATACGGTTATTTATATAGATGTGATGTATAAGTAACCCAGTTTGCACAGAGTCATGCAACTCTTTGTCTTCTTTTCTCCATTAGTTTTAATGTCCACTTTGTGTTATTATCTTTGTTAAAAATCAACGATAAAAAAAAAAAAACAATGTACGTGTGATAGAACTTAATTAAAAATTTTTTAAATGTCTGAAATATGAGCAATTGTGATGAGCAGCGAGAAAATCTTCGGTGATAAAAAGAAAAAAGACAAAGTTTTGATTAAACCGGCATCGAATTTTAGCCAATGGTTAACGCGACGATTTCTCCTCGGCAAACGTCGTTTGTTTTCTCAGGAAATAGAAATCTCCAAGAAAGATCCTCGTCCCTGTCCCCGCGTCCCGCTGTGATTCATCGCGATAAGGAATCACATCGGCCAGGTGGTGGTTCGAGCCGACCCTATTGGCGCGCACGCTATAACTCCCCGTCACCCTGACCTTTGCGGCCGGTCGTTCCTGCCGGTTCCTGCAACGCGCATCTTATCCAAATCACGTTTCTTATCGCTTATCGGTCGCCCTTCGTCGGCACCGACACACACTCGCCGGTTGTCGCAATTAAAACACGACCTCGACTCGCTCGATTTTCAACCCTTTTACGTTGCTCCCAATTGATATTCTTTGAAAAAAAAAAACAAGCTCCATTCGACAATCAGTTCAAAAACGGACGATGAACGTGTCTAATGAAGAGAAAATAAATAAATCCACTCGCGCGACATCCCGTAACGCGCCGATAAGATTCACCAATTGGAACCGGCACCAATTTCAACGGCGTGAAATCGAATACTCGTCTCGCTGCACGCGCGAGGAATCGTCTCTGCGACAATAAAATGAAAACCTAAAAATCTCGTGAGATTTACTAAGTTTTCTGATTTAATTCATTGAAACAGCAACAACTCCGACGGAGCTTCGCATTTAACACACTTCGACGGCCGGCCGTCGCGATCAGTCGTCACTCGTAATTACGACGCTCGTAATTTCTAATTTACGACACTTCGAACGAGTTTCTCGGGCCAACGACGAATTCGGCGAACGAATTTACAACTGCGAGTTGTGCTCGAAAATTCCACATGCTTCATCTACTTCGATCGGTCGATTCGGATAGAACAGAAAAGAAAAAGGGTGAGGAAGAGCGAGGCGGAGGAGGAGAGGGTGCAAGATGCCGGTTCCGACCGCTAAACCGCTTTCTTCCGTATTCCGGAAACTGTACCTGACTAATATTGTCGGTGACCATTGCGAACAACGGCTCGGCCAGGAAAAACGTATCCGCGACTGCACCGTCAGCGTCGTTGGCCGCGCTCACGCACAGGACGCTTTCGTTTTCTCCGTCGAACGCGCCGACCACGCGCGCGTTACGCCACCATTTGTGCACACCAACCCCCGGGGGTGCGCACGAATAACGCAGAAGGAAGAGATAGAGCGTCACGGGCGGATAGGAGCCGCCCTGCGCGAGCACGCGACCGCGCAGACTCGAGCGACAACGATCTCGCATATAGAGGGAACGCCGCGCCGGGGGTGGCTCGTATCAGGCGGAGAGGGGTGAGCGAGGGTGGCGGTCGCCGGCTCACTCGCACCCTCCGTGAGTGGCATATCGTCTGTTCTTTCCATTAGCGCCGTTCTCTCTTTCTCCCTCACTCTCTCTCGTCTTCTCTATCGTCAACATACTGCGCTTTCTGTGTGCCACTTTTTTTGGTAAAAATCTCTCTTGCTGTTGTTGAAACCTTGGCCTGTCTTGAGAAATCTCGAAGATTTTGTTTGTCTACGAAATATAACGTGATTTTATATCCCAAAAATACAATCTTTCGTAATTCTACGATATATATCGCCTTTTAATTTATTTTTAACAACTTTTCTATAAAAATGTTTAAAAAAAAATCTACACAGTACAAGTAAAAACATAGAATCTCTCATAACTTCAGAATTATTTGAGATCGAATTAGAGAACAAATTTAGCGGAAAGCGAGCGAGAAATCGAAATCGCAATTAAATATTCGTCTACTTTATGAGAACTTCTCGTTTCTTTTTTCTCTCTGATTGAAATTAGAAAAGTTAAGATTCCGAACATTCTTCTCTCGATGTATCTCACCTTCCATTTGTTGGGGTATCTTATTCCGAGACACAATAAGTCTCTCCTCGTCGTTCCGTCTTACACGTATGTTTTCCATTTCATTCTTTCACCCTCGCTCTATATCCTCCGATCTTTCCCCCCTCAATCTTGTGTCCACGTTATATACGGAGTTTATAGAAGGCATTATAAAGACGTGTGTGGTGGTGGATTTTCCCCGTAGGGTCTCACCGTCGTGGGGGGTAAGATTACCGACAGGATAGGTGGGAACCCATCCGGATACCGACTTTCGCGCGCGCGAGATTGCAGGTGCAGGTGGTGAATCTTGCGTCGCCACGTGCAAACAAACGCCCGGAGCTATTGAATGTAAAAACACCTGATTGTGAATACCGAGAAAGCACGCGCAGGGTTTTCGTTTTTCAGGAAACATGAATATAAAAGTGTTGCGAGAAGCGCAACACGAGAGCGTGTAGAATTTTTTTTTTTAACTCACATGTCTAGAAAACAAGAAAACAATGTGTTGTAAAATGAAAATTTAAATTTTCTTTCAATACACGCGACAAAAGATCTATTGTGCGCGGAATATAATACATATCTTGAAAAGAGAGAGTATACTACGTGTATATTAAATATAATACACCAATTGCGTCGCCACTTCGCGAGAAGAGTCCTCGATTTAACAAGAAACGATTGTTCAGACAAACGCATCGAAATTGTCCTAATTGCATCCCGAAAGAAATAGACAGCTATGCCACTGCGATCAATAAAGTCTTTACAGTATGTGCGGGTCGTCCAAGTAGGAAGAACAACATGCATATATGCGTGTCGCCCCGTCGCGTACAACCCTCCACGATATAACAACCTTGCAACTCGCGTGACTTGATCCAAGGCCATGACCCCCCGGCGACTTCAGCGCGCAGTGCCGCACTTGTACCCTTAATTTTTTCTCGCGCAGCAATCGGCCGTAAGATTTCACGTCGTCATCCCGTGAGAGTTTATCTCGCAACGGTGTATCAACGTGAGAATTCTTTTTTCTTTCTTTGCAACTTTCACATACAAAACATCTAAAATCAGATCTCCGTTCGTTAGAGTTCGAATCAAATTTCCAGAGACAGATGTTTGTTTACACGATACATTATACCGAGCGCGACAATCGCACTTTTTTTTTCAATAAAAACGTTGCTTCCGAAAGCTCTGACAGATATTTCTAAAAATAGCGTCGAGCTATCGCTTATTGGACAACGTCCAATAATCACCGTAAGCGTTTACGCGAGGTCCGATAGCGCGATATCAGCTGATTTTCAGTCATTCCGCATTTCAATCGCGTTTATTAGGTTTACGTTGTTGATCCCGCACACTTGTTACAAGAACGGCACGAGCCAGATCCTGCCAATTACTTAACGCAACACGCACAATATTTGCACCTGTTGTTAATGTATTACCACACAGATGATTAAATTCTCTGTTTGTTAATGTTAGCGATAGTGTTGGACATCTTGCATAAAATTGTTGCACAAACTGTCAAATTGTAAAATTGTCGGGTTCTCTGCGTGTAGTACAGATTCTCGTGGGTGAGTTAAAGATAGCGGTCGATATCGCGACAGGATCGAATATTAATTAGCAGGCAGGGTTTTTTTTTTTTTTTACCTGGAGCCTAATGATCGGTGGGAATGCGTCCTCTGTCGTCATTACTAAATAATAAACTGTATACTCTCTTTTGACAAGCTTCTATGTACATGCACGCTCGGTAAGCACCATGCTGAAGACGTAGACCGTCGGATATTAATAGATAGCACTATGTTATTTTTGTTAAGCTCTCCTATATACCATGGCTTTGTTTAGCAAGTCGTGTTAACATTCCGAAGCGCTAGCATACACGTAACAATTAACTCGAATCTACAAAAACATATACAAATTTTTATTTTCATACATAAAAATGTTCAACTTCTGTTATAATATTAAACTTTTCATTGCACATTAAATGTACATTGAATTGATGCGTCCGATTCAAAGTTAAATTATATATTAAATTATATATAAAATATAATATTAAATTATATACACGTGTAAAAGAAGCATTTGCTTTGTAATTATTGATTCAATAAAGTTTTTTAAATTAAGATCAATTCAATAATTTCTGAATACGACAAACTTGGTTTGCTATATTCGGTTGGGATTGATTTTTATTGTATGTGCGGTGACTTACTTTTTATTTACAATGAGATCTCTAAAAGATATCGCTCTTTCGTGTATAAATATAAATTTTTATTGTAATATTACATGACGTAATGTGGTAAAAATACGACACATCAGTTCCACCAGAAACTAATCGAAAAGCTCGGAGAAAGAGACGTGACATGATGCCACCACTTCGGCGGGATGTACAACATTTCTCCGGGTTTCAAGTAAAAAGTCATGCCGTTTGCTTTGCGAAAGTTTGGCCATTTATCGTAATCGGGCCTCACAGGATCTACCTGTGCGGTATTGTTGAGCAACTTAGTATCGTAAGGATACAAATTATCTGTCTCAGCTGGAGAATACAGAATAACTCTTTTGTAACCAAACACCTGAAAAGAGAAAAATAAAATACGACTTTTAACTCATAAAAAAAAGAACTTTCAACACGACTCAAGTAACCTTTGATAATTGTCCCTTACCTGAGAGAGCAGATTATGTTTTGGATCAAAGTGCAAAGGTGACAATGTGTTGGCCGGGCCAAACCAAGCGTTCACGTCAACCTCTGGCGAATTTACATCGTCACTGTCCTCAGTATCGGAAAAACAGCAATATTCCGGTATTTCGAAATCTTCTTTCAATTCAGGTATCTAAAATTATTTTCAAATTTTACCTTTCTACAAGATAAAATTAAATGCGCGACACACCGATACCTGTTCGAACAACTGGTGCTGCGCTAAATAACCAATTTGGCTATTGCTTGCGATAATGTGGTTTTGTAAAAACTCAGAAAAATTAACTAGATGCTGCGTCCAGTCTTCTTCGGTGTAACGAGATCCGATCTCAATCGGCACCGTGCGAGTTCCCGCAATCTTATTCAAGTAATCGGGATTTTTCCACAACGTTAATGCTTTCCAGTGACTTATGCAACCTAGTAGAATTATATCTTCAATTAATCAATTATATATTTTATAAAATTTAATGATTACGATTTATGTACCTGTTAATATAGCGGGAAATTTGGGCATAAAAATTTTATTGTAAAACGTCTCCATTGATGGTTTCTCGAAGTATCTCTCCGGATTATTAGATATTAAAAAATTTGTTCCCTCGTGATTAATTGAAATTTCTTTGATATTTGTAGCGCCAGAGTCTTCTAATAAAATTTTGAAGATTTATTTTTTATACAATTGTCCTTTTGTGTATGTGTGTGTATGATTGTTATATTAAAAGTTTTACCAATACAACAGTTGTTTAACTTGGTAGCGATATTTGTCAATAAATTTGGCACACTCGAAAGTGGCGCACCTAACAAAATGCCTCTGTCAATTTGATTAATAATATTCTTCAGTACAATCTTTTCCTTCTCTTTGTCTTTCAAATTATCAGCAGTAACTTTGTACTGAAGCTCTAACAATATTGCCTATAAAAGTATATTATGTAACTCAAACAAGTTAATGAGGTTTTATGCAAATAAACTATGTACAAAACAAAATAAATATATAGTGATAATTCCTCACACACGCACAAGTATTTGTATACCTTTACAACAGTACATAAAGAATAGCAGTATCTGTACTCTATAGGAACGTCTTTCCAATAGCCTGAATTCAATGTTTCCCATGTGCGATCTAAACAGGCTTCCACTCTTGTTATCGAAGTACTTATCCATTTTTCTTGAGTTCTTTTAAGAAGAACAGAGTTTATGAGCAAATATGTTAACACATACATTACAATAAAAATGTGTATAATAGTTTTTATATTCTTTAAGTTATATATAAGTTTTAATATTTACAATAATTTGTCAGATGTATGCAGCATGTTGATTATTGATGTTAAGTGCAGTTTTATTTCAGTTGGTATATGTTCTAATTCTTTTATTAATAATTCCCAAGGGAGTTTTATCATGGAAGCGCTATGAGTCATTGTTTGAAAGTTGCTTCTCACAAATGCAATTAGAATTTGATATAATTGAGAAAGGTCTTTGTTTATAAAAAGATGCTTCTACTATAAACAGGCTTACTTAAATAAGCCCACTGAACAATCACATAATCAGCCAAGTAATACAAAATTTTTCCTGTTAAAGAAAAAGTCTTAACTCTGCAGAAACTTTCAATAAACACAATAACAGTTTGTGAGAAGCATAGCGCTTTAAGCAGAAATGCTACAACACACAAAGGAACACAAGTGCCTGGGCCGTTGCACAATATAAGTTCTGGTCTTTCCCTCCACAAGATCGAAATACTGTTCAGCGTGGCGAGCACAGTAGTCCAAACTGATGTGAAGTATGACTGTCGAACTTCCCGACTTCTGTAAATGTCCACAATGTTGTAATCTTTATTGCCAGTCTCCAGATCTCTCACTTTCTCAGAACTGAGTTTGTCCGTTTGCGCGTGAACGTATACTCTAGGCGAGTAGTTTTTGACGTTTAAACGCTGAACAATGCGAAGCATCTCAGCTGTGTGTCCACCTGATCCTAATATTATCATCGTTTTAACCGAGGAAGACTTTTCTCTGGGCTTGTGACGTTTCATAAATATCAGGAAATATAATCTTACAAATATCAGTGCGCAACAAACAAGAGCAACGTAAAGGACGAAAGATAGCGTGTACATCTTCCACTTTTATTGTGTATTACCTGAAAAAAAATGTTAAAAAAGAAAATACGTAACCGTCACGCAAACAAGATACTAATTTACGTCTTTTCAGAAGCTTTTCACTAATTTCATAAATTTGAAGTCGATTATAAAGTTTATAAATTGCAACAACATGTATATCATGATGTAAACAGAAGAGTTTCTAACCTTAAAACTAGCACCGGTTCTCGAGCGGCGATTTTGAGTTTTTCACGAATTTAATTATCGAAATGTGAAATCATACCAGATTATATTGAAATAGGCGATAAATTGCGATAAAAGTTTGCGATATTTATCAGCTTTTTTGTAGAAATTAATCGATAATGACGGCAAACTGTCTGGACGCAGCCGATAATTCAGGACTCGGTTGAGGAAACCAATTCGAAATCAATAAACATCCCTAGAACAGTTTTCTCGTTTCGCCGTATGAGGTCTTCGAGCCAATTCACATTTATGACAAGACTTATAACCATGATTATAACCTAAATTACTGTCTGCAGACTTTTATGAGATATTGTTCGTAAATAACAGAGATATATCTTATGTTTAAAGGTGAGAATACGCACATATATTCTCCAATAGTCCAAATAATAATTGTCGCACTGTTTTGCGATCGTTGAATGTTGGGAAGTAGAACAGAATTAAGTGGCTATTGCGGACGTAAATACGATATATTTTTGGAATGAAGACTCGTCAAGAGTCGCAGAAATAACAGCTTCTCAAGCTGTATTTTGTTTTTGTCTCCAGTATCGATTGTCACAGTCTATTCGGGAATATGTCGGGAAAAGGGAAGCAGAGCTCGAAGAAGACCATTCTCAAAGTGCGCGAATCCGGGAAGAGCGCGCAGTCTTCGGTGGCAGCCACCGATACAACCTCGGAGACATCAGAACCAACCACGTCCCAGGTCATTTTGAAAACGGTCGACAGCAAACAGTTGCCCAAGTACACCAGCATCCTGAAGCGCACGCCAGAAGAGGGTGTTGGTATGGATGATCTCGACACATTGCAACTGGAACTGGAAACTCTACTGTCAGCGGTTGTCGTGCGACATCGCAATCTCCAGGAGGAGATCTCCAACCTGTCGGCGGAGGAACGAAGAGACAGACGATCGAAGAGCGGAAAGGGATTGTCTTTGCTCGACAAAAAGGTGCGCGAGGAGAAATTCAAGCCAAAGGACATCAACACGAAGAGCCAGTCACCTCTGCACACAAAGCTCTTCAAACAGAAAACTGTAGGGAGCTCGGCCAGTCAGGTGGTGCCAAATTTGCACGACATCTCGAGAATTGAGGGATCCAAATCAGACGCACCAAAGTTCTTACCAAAAAATGACATACCCAATAAATTCTGGGCCTCGGTAGATCCTTACTGCACCGACATCATGCCTGATGATATTAAATTATTGGAGGAACTTATTGCCACGCACAGTGACATAAGCGAATTCAAGAAGATCCCACCCCTGGGTCGTCACTACAGCTTGATGTGGGCACATAACGATCTACTGCAGGAAGAAGACGCAGCGAACCCAAATAGAGAGAAAAAAAAGGGCCGCAACACAGACATAACAAATTTGATCACAAAGAGCGAGAAAAAAACCAACGGTATCGCGACTAACGGTATCGTGGGACCGATCACGCAAAGATTGGTTACCGCACTTATGGAGGAGAACGTTTACGTCGCGAACAACAACACGGAGAACAAATTATTCCGGGACGGAGATCCGCCCGTTCTGAGAGATCTCACCATTCAGAATTCCATGAATTTGGAATTGCGAATGCGTAAAGAATTAATTGACCAAGGAATTTTGGAGCCCGACACGCAAAAAAAGAATCAAGAGGATGACGAGATTCTGGCAGAGGTCAAGAGATGTCAACAGGAACTCGCCGCGCTGTCGAGTCACAACGTCACGCAACTGAAAAGACTGTTGAATTTGGCCCAGGAGGAAAGCAAGAGACAGTTGTTGAAACGAAAAATCAGCGTGGCTGATAACGAAGTGATAGAGCATTACAAAAAGTTGACTCTTGCGAAACAGAGGAAGGTACCGTTGTCGAGGAAGGATCAGGAGAAAGCGTGGGCGTGTCTAAAGGAAAGGGAAAACCTCCTAGAACAATTAAACACTGCCAAATAATGATCCAGCAAAAGCCTATACATACATGGGCTTTTTTTCCTAGCGTTATAAATATGTATATTTAAACCTCGTCTCCGCACGGTGTGGTGTACATGTGCATTAACGTAAACATGAGAGAGAACCTCTCTAGGAAGCGGAAGTCTCTCCTTTCGGAGGACATTTACGTGACACTCATCACGTATCGCGGTGTATATGCGTACTCGAGACCACATCTACGAAAAGAACGAATTGTCTTCGCTTTAAACACACACAAAAACAACTTGAGAAGTTTAATAGAAACAGCGAAAATATCAACTGTTGATTACATATATATATTTCAACGTTAAAGATTCTATTTTTAAGAGACACTTATATAAGTTCGTGTGTGTAAAGAAAACTCGATGTATAAAAAAAAAAGTAAAGCTAACTTTTCATTTTTTTTTTTTTTTATATCATTCACTTTAATTCAAGGTGTTAGCTCCGTCATATCCACAATGCCTAAGCTTATTGTGATAATTTCCCTTTTTTCATTACTGTATGATAATTTTACCGTTTCATGCTTCACATATTCTTAGAGTAAAGATCCATTAAATGTATCATATTACAGTAAATAAATTGAATACAATAGAATTGTATTGTCACGTACATGTACATTTCGTGATATCTGATCAAGTACACTCTCTCCCCCTTCTTTCTGTTTAGCGGTACATCTCCGAGACTTTTATTAGATACCGTAAATAGAAATAATTTTATTTCACATAAACACTTTTGTGTAAATGGTCGTACTTAGATTCAAATTTTTAGAACCGCAGTAGTTCGTAAACGAGACAACTTCAAACACACACTAAAAAAAAAGACCACAAAGGAAAAATTGTAAACAAACATTTGCGAAAAATCCATGTTCACGACAAAGATGTTTATTCGTTTCACTGTACAATGAAGTTTTTTTTTCTTATCGTCGAGAATTGCCTTAACAACGTGCGTACGCGACGGCACAACAATGATGAATTCCTTAAATGACAAGATCGACCTAAGTGTTCTGTTACTGTCGCAGCAGAACACTAACAAAGGTGAATAATGTATGCTTGCACATGAAAATGCAGATGCCGTTTGTTTTTTTTCCTTTCACTTTTAACTGTCAATAATATATTTTATATATAATATCTTATTCGTTTGTTTATAATTGAGAAATCCAGCATTTTTTATAACAATGTGAGTTTATAACGCTACAATGAGGTCAGTAGGCCATGAAATAATTACGAACAAGCTGAAGGCTTGGACAGCTGAGACGGTCCGCACTTAAACGACGTTAACTGCATTCACAGCTTCCGTGTGTCTTCATTGTCGTACCGTCGCAACCCACCCGAACCACGGAAAAATGATCCGAGCTTCTCTAATGATTTCATGGCATCCCGCGTACCAGAGACAGCCGCTGCCTTTTTTCCCATGGATCCGGACAACGCTGTCTTGGCAGTGACGCACTATACTATATCAGCACTTTCTTATGCTTATTATGACTTAGAAGGCGAAAAGAAGCAAGAACGCCATCATAAGACAGAAGAGACCCATGGCCTCGGACAGGGCAAATCCTAAGATGGCGTATGAGAATAACTGCTGCTTCAAGGAGGGATTCCTTGCATAGCCGATAATCAAGGAACCGAATACGGATCCAATGCCGGCACCTGGAATGATTTGACGACCATTTGATATTATTTTTCACACTAACCTACAAGATACACATATATATATAGATATATATGTGTAGTAAATTACATAATTGTATGAGGAAACAACACAAAAACACTAGGAGTGGAGTCGAGAACTTGAAAATGATAACTTATAACTTTACTTTCAGTAGGAAATCTCGGGAAGCTTGAAGGAGTTGGATTCAGAATGCAAATAATATGAGGAGAGCTATCATCAAACTAAAGAGGGCTATTGCTTCTGACAGCGCAAATCCAAGGATGGCGTAGGTAAAGAACTGTTGTTTCAGGGAGGGATTACGTGCATAACCGATTATTAAAGACCCAAAAATCACACCAATACCAACCCCTATAATATAAATTTCTTCAGACAATAACATATAAAAACAGATACGTAAACACGAAATGTTTATCAAAGTGATTGATTTAACTTTTTGCGACCGCAATTGTTAATTTCTGTTTTTTTTTTTATTAAAACAAAAGTATATATTGTAGTTGAAAAACGTTCGAAATATCTTTATATTCCTTCTGTTATTATAGTATTCTGCGTTTTTATATCTTTATTAGTGTAGTACAAAATGTTTTTTATTTTAGAAATTGATATATAT